TTTTTTTTTTTTTGACTATATATATAGTCAAACAGAGTTGCCTGGTAAACCGTAGGCAGAGAGGGAGAAGAGGACAACGAACGAGGGGCTGTGGCAAACTGTTTCGTCGGAGCACACACACACACACACACACACACACACACACACAGAGGGTTCAGCCTCCTGATGAGTCGGTGAAACTCCGATGAAACTATTTGTCACAACCCCTCGTATATTGCACTTTTCTCCTTCTCTACCTACGGTTAATTGGGCAGCTTTGTTTGACTATATATTATAGCCCCTCGTTTGTCGTCCTCTTCTCTCTCTCTGCCTATGGTTTACTGGGCCCTCGTCCTGTTGTTCCTCAGACCCCTCGACCTCCTCATGCCTCAGCTCCTCTTGTTTCCCTCCCTATCACATCTATTGTTGCTCCGTCCATTCCTGCATCAACTGATCCTTCTTATACAAGACCCCTCTTACCAACACCCGTTGACTCTCATGCGGCACCCCTTTTACCGACACCCCCTCACTGTTTACCTCTTTTGCCAACACCTTCTGTAAGTTCATTTGTTGTTGACCTTCGTCCGGGTCCCGAACTTCTGTAATTTGTACCTCACTGCATCGTCTTCTCACTGAAGTTGCTTCAAGTAACTAGTGTCAAGGGTGATATAGCAAGCGACACCAGCATGGCGGGGATGACTTTTGCAATGGCTTTACAACAATGTCTCCAATGCAAACATGACAGCAGACATTCGAGAACTCGAATGCCTCATTCAAATATTCCATCATACTCGCCAACCTCGTGACGCATTTACTGACCTCATCAAGGTCATACATGTGCACGAGGTAGTTGGTGCTACGATCTTGCGCCATGTCGAAAATAGTTGCATTGCACCCCAACACGCAAGCAGCCACACATGTTCGTGTATGTGCCAAACTAATGCCACCCGCGCGTGTCCAATTTTGTAACTTCACTAATGTGGCTTTGAGTGGTACTCCTGACATGATCTTACCTGACTCCTCAAGTTGTGAATGCCGCAGAGCCTTTCCACATTGCTCTATTTTGTGGATGGTCGTATTGTGTCTGTTGACTACAATATCATGTCTGATGATAGCCTTTGCAAGCTTTTTCAAGAAGGCTCGAAGTATCGCCTCAATGGGGAAACTACCAATATGCTCCAGGCACTGGCAATTGGACTTGATGAGTACATTGCCAATCACAAAAGGTTGTTGGTCAGGCATTCTCTATCTACTTCTTTTTCATCTCCTTCACAAAAGTTGAACAACTTGCGTTCTGCAATCCTTGCACATTGTCAATTCAGTGCAGCCTCCTTCTCCAATCATGTGAGCCAACCACGATCACTTCGTTTTACACATGCCTCCTTGCACCATCTTCAACAACACTTTGCCATTGTTCGTGTGGACAAAACATCACACAATTTGGCAATTTAGTGCAAGAATTGATACTTGTTTAATCTCTCCACCTATTGGACAG